AAACAGGCATATGGATGTGTTAGTCCCTCCGTGTCGCTTGGGGAGGCATTACTGAATATTGGAAAGAGCGAGATGTTGGAGGCGAATGGAGCCGGGCTGGAAGCCAGGTTCCGCTTCATACCAGAAGAATGAGCCCAGACCAGTTATTTAACTTCCTACAGTTTAGTTTACATAGCTGGAAAGATGGCTGAACAGCACCTACTTGTACAGTCGTTGGGGGAGAAGAGCGTGTGGGCTTGGAGGCAGGGCTGTGGTAGGTGCTCAGTGGTGGTGATTACAAAAAGTGCCGGTACTCTTCCTCTGTGTTCATCTTCTCATAATTATTGATTCTACAACAGAGAGAAGGAAATCCAGCCAAGAGAAAATATTTGCAAATCTATTTCTGGCAAATGAAAGTGCGAGCAAATGTAAATCATGCAGTTCTGTCCAGGACAGAAGTCAAGTGAGTGACTGAAGACTCTGTCCTCAGCTGGGTGGTTCCTGAGCAGGCTTAATGGAACCTCTACTGTCTTTCTGTTAAGTAATTAATATGCATTTTTTAAAAAGATTTATTTATTTATTTATACAAACTCTGGGTACAGTCAGAAGTGCAGGAGGGTGAGAGAATTCACCAGAGCCAGAGTGGGGAACAGAACAGGCAGAAGGACCGAAGTACACTGCTGAGGGGAGCAGCGGGCAGCAGGAGAGGTCTGTGTGCCATGTGGGACCCTCGCCCAGCTGCCGGCGATCTAACCGCCACTGGGGAGGCCCTTAATCTGCATATTTTGATGGATAATACACTGCATAAAAAAGTCATATGGCAATAACCTCGTGCTGTTCACAGCAGGAATAAGATTGGTCATGAAAGGTGACGACCAGAAAAAAATTTCAGAAACCAGAAAATCATAACATAATACCTATCCCTGTGTTATTAAAAAAATTGGTCATATCATGTAATTTATGGGGTGAAAGCTCACTGTTGGCTCTTGTTAATGCAGTGGTTTGAAATCAGCCCTGGAGAGAACGAGCTGCATTGAATTTGCTATGACATCAACACAATTTGCCAATTATATTTTGAATTTCCAGAATCTCTGGTGCTGGGAAGAACTGAGAAGGTGCAAAGAAATGACCCAACTTATCGAAACTGAACAGAGAGACTCTGTGGACACCAAATACAGAGACATTTGTGGCCAGAGAGTTATCGTGTGTTCCTTCAGTGAGTTCAGGTCAAGAAGAAGCGGCACTTTCTCAACTTCATCCACTCTTTAAGAGGAAAAAGATACCAGTACCTAGTTTACACCAAGTCGTTTCTGACAAATTCCTTGTCATGTTGAGATGCTTTTCCTTTTACTCTTCCTTTAACAACAGCAGCAGCTTGAATAAGTGGAATTATTTCAGTATTAAAATGCAGGCTTTGTAGACCTCTTGTGCAGGCAGATGCAATTTCAAAGAAAACTTCTTTTGCTGGGTATTCAGTGTTACATGGGGATTTGGGGAGTTAAGCTTAACTGTTTATGTTGTAGGAAAAAAGGGGAAAAAGCTGCTCTTTCTAACCACTCTACCCTGTGGGCATCCGTCTCCTTTTGTGCCCTGGAATTATGGAGATGGAGGAAACTTGGAGGGGTTATCCCACCTCACCTCTTTTTTTTTTTTTTTTAAGATTTATTTATTTATTTATACAAGCACTGGGTACAGTCAGAAGCGTGGGAGGGTGAGAGAATTCACCAAAGCCAGAGCGGGGAACAGAACAGGCAGACTGACGAAATACACTGCTGAGGGGAGCAGCAGGCCAGACAGGAGAGGTCTGCGAGCCATGTGGGACCCTCGCCTGGTGGCCAGGGATGGAACCGGCACTGCAGAGACTTTGGGCAGCTTCACAGCCCAGGGCTCAACCGCTGCGCCACCGGGGAGGCCCCCCATCTCACCTCTTGAGACAGACTGGGCTTCCCTTAAAGCCTCAAAAGCAGATCCTTGTTGATCATAGTTTTCAAGGACCTGGGATAGACATTTTGCAGTCTCCCTGTTAACTAGTATCACTGCTTAGCCTTCTTTCATCTGAACAGCTATTTTTTTTAACATAAAAAATTACACTGACATAAATGGAAAAATTTAAATGATATTCCCCCAAACCAATACAAAACCTCCCCCATTTCACCTAGAACTGTGTTGTTATTGTTCAACTTCACTGCAGAGAGCACTGAAGTTTAGGAGACCCAGTTTTATAAACAGGACTAATTTTGAGAGCTAGTTACAAGTTCAAGTCAGTTCTAGCTTCTTGGGGCTGCTTCACCAAGGGTTTTGTCTTCAGAAATCCCAGCTAGGAAGCACACCCTGGCCTCCTGCTCACCTATATCCGAGCCTGCAGAGGACAAACGCCTTGGTTGAGTTCTTGTGGTGCTTTGCCCTACCTGGGAAGGGACTGAAGTTCTCCGCTCATCAGATGTTTGCTGGAAGGATATCTTTAGATAGTTGACGATGACTCTTTTGGATGAAGGGCTGACCAATTTCAGAGCATGGGCCAAGTCTGGCCAGCTGCCTATTTTCATATAGTCTGTGAGCTTAGAATGTTTTTTGTTTTTACTATTTAATTTGTTGAAAAAAATTAAGAGAACAGTATTTTGTGACACATAAAAAGCACATGCTATTTAAATTCGTGTCTATAAAGTTTTATCGGAACTCAGCCTTGCTCTTCATGTGTGTCTCATTCATTACTTTTGTGGTTGCTTTCAGTGGCTACAGTGGGGGTGGTGAGTGCTTGGGATAGGGACTGTTGTATGGCCAGTAAATCCTACAGTATTTGCCATTTGGCCCTTCACAAAGAAAGTTTACTAACCCTCTGCCATAGAACTTTCCAATACTTTGAAATCCATCTTCTCACTTCCCCCCACAGGAAAGGGTCAGTAACGGCTCCTCCTGAACATGACAATCCTTGTTCCCAAGGCAATGACTCCAAAGAGTCTCTTTCCTTTTCTAGTCTTCTTATTAGGTTGATCATGATAGGGCTTGTTCAAACAAGGTCACATTAGGGGTTGGAGGGAGGAGAAGAGGAGAGAGTACGGATCAGAAAAGGCGAGTGGGGCTATCTATTCTAGTGCCAGTTGTTTGTAGTAATTTTTTTAAAATTATTTATTTATTTTCTTATATCAGTGTTCATGTTTGGATTGTATTTGATATCTCCTCAAAGGTGCAGTCCCCGATAGCACCCTGATTCATTACCACAGTCCCTTATACTCTTTCCTCCCTTGTTTTGACCCTTCTCCCACACATCTCCCTGCTAGATGTCTCAGATCTATGGTCAGCTTGCAAGTTTTGTCTTTTTCCTGACCCTTTGTTTGGTTTCTCTCTATTCCACATATAAGTGAAACCACTGGATATTTATCTTTTCCTTCTGACTTATTTTGCTCCAGCTCCACCCATGTTGCCACATAGGATGTGAGTTTATCTTTTTTGATCTCTGATTAGTATTTCATTGCATATATGTAACATGTCTTCTTGATCCACTCATCTGTTTTGGGGTGTTTGGGGTGTTTCCATGTCTTAACTATCTTTCAGACAAAAGAGTATTAGGGCTTGACTTTTTTCCACTGTGGTATGTCACATGAATTCCAGAAAACTAGAAGCAGCAGGACATAGGCTGGAGGAGCCAAGGACTATGTTTTGGCTATGTTTGCTGTGGTGTCAGAGAGGGGAAACACTGGGGAAGGCACAGTTTGGGCAGAGAGAGGGAATGATCAAGAATCCGTGTGTATAGACCAAAGTTTGTGATTGGTTGAGAGTACAGGTATTTAATTGGTCCCTGAGTCTGGGATGGAAGTCTGAATTTGAGCCATCAGCAGATGGATGTTGGGGGAAGTCTTGGTAGTGAATAACATCATCAAAGGCAGGAGTGTGGCTAGAAATGGAAAAGGTCTAAGGATTCATAACATGTGCTTCATCATTTAGAAGTCAGGTGAAGGAAGAAGAACCCATGAGGGCAGGATTCTGTTTGCTGTTACAACTCTAGTACTGGATACAATGCAGGCATTTACAATGTGCTCAATTATTTATTGACTGTATAAGGGAATAAGAATTCCAATACATCTACTCTGAACACATTTCACAATCTCCAAATCACACATTTCTCTTCTCTCTCTCTCTCTTTCCCTCTCTGTCTCTCTGTCTCTCTGTCTCTCTCTCTCTCTCTCTCTCTCACACACACACACACACACACACACACTCTTTTTTTTTTTTAAGATTTATTTTATTTATACAAGAACCGGGGAACAGGCCAGATGTGCGGGAGGGTGAGAAGATTCACCAGAGACAGAGCGGGGAACAGAACAGGCAGACTGACGAAATACACTGCTGAGGGGAGCAGCGGGAGAGACTGGAGAGGTCTGTTCACCATGTGGGTTGCTCCGAGGTGGGCGTGGATCGAACCGGCACTGCAGAGGCTGCAGACAGCTTCACAGTACTGCGCTCAACTGCCTGCGCCACCAGGGAGGCACCCCCCCCCCCACACACACACACTCTCATCTTATGCTTCTCCTTTCCCTTTCTTCTGTGTTCTTGCCTTCTTCTCTGCTATGTGTTAAATCCATCAAAGCACGCAGGCTCCCCAGCCATACTTGAACCTTGCTTACCTGATTATACCTCTGGGGGGAAACGAATCAATACATATCTTCCTCTTCATTTATACAGATTGTTTTAAAAAAATATTACACTTGTTCCTGTTGGAACTCATCCTCTTGATGAACTAGTTCCTTGGTTGGTTAATGCTATTTTGATTTCTCTTCTACCTTCTTACTAATGCTTTCACAACTTGGTGTCATCTGTGCTCATAATTAGGAGTTCTCAGTTACGTCACTGGGGTAAAGATAGAGATGTTCAGCACGGTCTCCAGCGCTGACACCAGTGAGATCATGTAGGATGTTTCCGGCTTGAGGCTGAGTCACTGATAAGCCACATTTTGGGTGACATTATTCAGTTCTCAGTGCCTGCATCTTATAAAGAAAAGTCTCTCTTCTTTCTTTCTATTATAGTTGATGAATTTGTGATGGGAACTAAGGTCATATTCCAGCACCGAGAGATTATATCTCTTGCTCACTCCTTGTCTACACGGTCTATCTGTCATCAAAGAAAATTAAATTGGTCTGCCAAGATTTGATCTTCGCATTCCATGGAGGTGAGTGCAAATTGATTGTTTGTTGTTACTAGACTCACTTGTTACACTGAGGAGAAATGGACCTATAACTTGGCCTGCTTGGGAGTTGCGTGGGGTGGCCATGAGGGAAAGCAGAAACCAAGAAAGGCTCAAGGTCACACATCGCTCCCTGCACTGTACAAGGTTCTTCACAAGAACTCCCTCCTTTCATGTTCACAATAGCTCAGAGAAATTGGTATGATTAGTTTTTTTTTCCCAGTTAAGAAATCTGAACCTCAGAAGGAAGAGTATCTTGTACCAGGAGACCCAGCTGGTCAGCAGCAGAGGTAGAACTTGAACTTGAAGTCTTTCACACTGACTCCCAGCAGTTATAAATAGGTAGTATCCTGAACAGTATTACATTGTGGGGAAGACTATAAATGCCTAAGGTTTCAAATATCACCAGGCTACAAATGACTTCAAAATGTAGAATTTTGCCGTCTACAACCCAGCCTTCATCTCTAGCTGCCTCCTAGACATTTGCACATGGCCATTAGTCTAAAGGCTGTAGTTTAATGTGTAAGCTCAATACTCTTCCCTCCAACATCCAGGATGTCCCCCACTTCTCCAATCACTACTGTCCTGTGTTCTTCTGTGATACATCATCCTTTCAACATTTTCAAAATCTGTGTTTTATTAAGTCCTTCCCTGGGGAGTCTTTCCCTAAAATATTTCCTGCCTCCATCTCCTGTTTTCTATTTCCGCTCCCGCCCCCCAACCCCTTTTTTTTGGCCTTTATTGCCTAGGTCTTAGATTATTGTCCAGCTAAATACATCTCTCATCAGCTATCACAGTTTAAACACTATTTAATTGAGTCAGTTCCCTAAAAGTATGAGCCTTATTTTTTTTTAAAGATGTGTTTTTATTTATTTATGTATACAAGAACTGGGGTGTAGGCCAGAGGTAGGGGGTGTGTGTGTGTGTGTGTGTGTGAGAGAGAGAGAGAGAGAGAGAGAGAGGATTCACCAAAGACAGAGTGGGGTTTACTCTAATGCACTGCTAAGGGGAGCAGTGGGTGAGACAGGAGAGGTCTGCTGCGCCATATGTGGATTAGACCCCTAGCTGGGGATCGAACACTGGCCATGGTGGTAATAGTGCTGAGACTTAACCTCTAGCCACCAGGGAGGACCCTGAGCCGTAATTTTGGTCTTCATGTTGGAATTCATTTTAAAAAGTATTGAAAACTATCTAAAAATTTGGGTCCTTCCTTTTAGCATTATAGGAGCCATACCAGGTTTATCTGTACTCTGGGATGAAGGATTTTTATCCTGAGGTTCTGGGATCAGATATAGTCCTCAGGCTCTAGAAGGTGCGACTCTAATCATATTCTTGTCTCTTTGGACTGGATGAAGATAAGCAGGCTTGACTGCCAGTAAAAAGAATCAAGGAGTAAAAATCAGCATCACTGCGCTCTCAATCTTCCAGTATCCCCCTGAAGATACCTGTTCTGTTTTCCAGTGATTTACTTGGGTAAATGGAGTCTCTAGGAGGTCTTTGACCCTCCCATTATAAGACCATCCTTCAGACTTGCCAATTTCATAGTTTACACATATCTGACCAACTTTTTCAGAATTCTCCTGCAGAGGAGTGTTGGTTGGAAAATCTGATCATTTGTTCCAGAATATCATGACCTAATGCAGAGTTTTAAATATTGAGTTCCATATAAATTTAGTACAATAAGGTATTCACAGAAAAAGAGTTTTTATAGCCAATAATTTTTAAAAATCTCTTGAGAGTCACTTTAGTATGTTAAGCCTCTGAGAAGACCTGCATTAAAAACTTTTGTTTACTTTAGTTTCTTCCATTACTAATGTTTTCCACAGTTATTTCACTTATTTTAACCCTTTTATGTTGAAACATTACATTCTAATACACTAAAATGTCAGCACCTACAAGATAAATCATGATTTCAGAGATGTTAAAAGAGAAAAAATGTCTATGATGATTAAAAAGATCCATAGATTGTAACAAGCATCATGATTTCTGAGATTTAAAATGAGAAAGAGTGTATATCTTAGCATTAACTAAATCCAGTAGCTTTCCTAGAAATTAGGGTTTTGTGGAATGCCTTGTGGGGAACCACTGAGCAAGATAGCTCTTTTTAACAGGAATGTGCTGGAAATGCTTCCATTGCAGGTCATGGGCAATGTAGTAGGAAGGGCAGATAGAAGAGGCATTTGAGGGGAGAAGGGATTTACAGCAGCAGCCACTGGTTTATTTTCAGGAAGACTGGCCTGGAAAGGAAAGAATAATATCCTCATTGCTAGCAGTCCCGTCTCTGACCGAGAGAAGAAAATGGCAAGCTAGAAGTAGATACAAGAATGACTCTGGGAGAAGGGCAAAGTGTCCATCCCTTTAACGTACAAATGGTGAGAATGAGCCTGCGGTTTTGGAATAGCAAATAGCAAAAGCATTTTATAATCAGGTGGTAGAGGAGGGTTAGAAGTGTTGAGTATCAGCTGTGCCCACTCTGGCTGTCTGAATGTGACTGAGTTTCTTATATTGCCTGAATTTCAGTATCTGAATATGTAAGTAGAATAATAATAATAATAATACCAGCAGCTAGATTACATTTGGGCTGTATGTAACAGAAAGTTGACTATGATGGTTTAGCTAAGTAAAACTTTCTTTTTTCAGAGGCAAGTAGGAGTCCCAGAAGTAAGCATTTTGGAGAGGATTGGCAACATAAGGCAGGATGCATCTTTCTTCCTGTTGTGTGATTCTTAGTCTTTTTTCTTCACATTGCTCTCCTCATGGTCACAAGCTGGCTGCTCTGTCTCCCATGTACTCTGCATTCCAGACAGGAAGCTATAAGAAGGAAAGGAAAAAAAAAAGGGGAAGGCCTGCATATTTCCCCAGACATCCCGCACCAATTTCTTGCTTTATGGAACCTATTGCTAATAGAACCTATTGACCAGCATTGTTCCACACAGTCATTCTTAGCTCCCAGGTAGTCTGAGCTGGTAAGTGTTATCTGGCAAGTGTTTGCCACGGAGTAGACATACAATAAAGTGTCTTTGTCTTTCTATCCCTCCTCCCTCTGCCCAAGCAGATAACAGATCTCTTTCCTCTTCTGCATAGTTGGCAAATATGTTGTAACTGATGGTTATACCACAAGGTGGCATGTAACCAAGGGGGAGCCAGAAATCTGGCTGTGAGACTTTGGGCCCAACATACGCAATGGAGAAGGGACAGGATGATTAGCAACAGCCAGTCTAGGGTGGACACCAACTTGTAACTGGGACTACAGAGCAGTCATCAACACAATGTTCCGTTTTAGTTGGAGAAAGTCAGTGTTTAGGTTAGAGGCCTTCTCATGACTGATGATTGCTTCCTTCTCTGCACTCACAGAGGGAACACTGCCTAAGTTATTTGTGCCACTTTATGGCACCACTTTCACTGTTATATCCACGTATTTCCAACTACCACCCTATAACTTCCTTAGCACAAGGCTTGCTCTTTCTTCTTTGTCTTTGTCTGCTGCAGTCCACTCCTAATCCCCTCAATATTACAGTGCCTTTGGGAGCCAGCCAGGTAAACATGTGAGGTGTAAAGTGGGCTTGGAATAAAGATAAGGCAGCACCCAGGAATGTATGCAGCACCTGCTGAAAGGAACTCAATTTAAATAAAAATCAAACAAACATTGGGAAACAATGGATCTTAGTAATAATCAGCAATGACTATTAATCTGACCCAACAAAACATAATTTATCTTGTGAGTTCTGAAGGACCTAGGAAATATTCTTGCCCAAAAATCAAGCTTGAATTTGATCAAGCCTGTAGATATAACAACCAGTATATAGGAAATAAAGGAGCTGGGAGAACATGTTAAAAGATACACTAGGAATATAATTAGCAAAATCCAGACTGGAGGAAAGACTATATATAGGATGAAATGACCCAATTTCTTCAACAAATTGCAAAGAAAAAAATTGCAAGGTAAACCCAGAGGTTAAGAGACTTGGGTGACATATCAGTCACAAGATACACCTTATTTGGTTTCTGATTCAAATTAACCCTGGAATTTGAGGCAATTAGAGGAATTTGAACACTGATTTGAATAGGGAATTTTTTTTAGGTTTGATAATGACTTTGTGGTGATGTTTTTAAAGAATTCTTATCTTTCAGAGGATACTAAGATATTTTACAGAGCAAATGATAGAAGAGACTTGCTTCGGGATAACATAGTATATGTAGAGGCCAGGGGGCGGGCCTATGGATAAATTAAGGACTGATGATGGTGGAAGTTGGGTGATAGGTGTATAGGAGTTCATTGTCTTAATTGCTCTCTTTTTTGCTTATATTTGAAATGTTCATAATTAAAAAAAAAAAAGATTAATTGAGGAAAAATCATGAGGTTAGTCAAACCAAACACATAACAGAGGTGGATTTGTCAGGAAGCTCAAGCTTACTGTACAGGTACCTTCTAAGAAAATTTTGTATTCCTGATTTTTCTCATGTAGGGCTCCCCAAATTGTCAAAACTTCATCTTCACAACTTGAATCTACCCCTGATGGCAGGCAACCAATTGACTCCCACTTAGGCATTGAGTAAATGTTTACAGATTTTTTTTTTCTGTTATAGTGTACTTTTTAAATCTTTTTTAAATTTTAACATTTATAATTTTTTACATTTTTTACAACAATATTTGCTTCCCCCCACCCCTCAGATTGAGTCCCCATAGAATTTCCTTCCCCAAGGCACCCGTGCACCATCACCTCAGTCCCCTGTGCTCCTCCCTCCCTCCCTCTGATCCCTCTCCCTCCTCCTCCCTTGCAGGATGTCTCTGGTTTATAATTGTCTGGTTTTGCTTTGTTGTGTTTTATGCTGTTATTATTTTTTTTTTTACACTGATGTCTTGTTTGGTTCCCCTATATTCCTGTTATAAGTGAAAACATCCGATATTTTTCTTTTTTCCTTCTGGCTTATTTCACTGAGCATAATTCCTTCTAGCTCCATCCACGTTGCTGTGAATGGCATGA